TCTAATGCATTATTAGGCTACTGTAAGAAGGTTGTTTTCTGTGGCCACGAAAATATCCTTTCTTAGAGTAGATATGAAATTACACTGAATGTTCGCTGGGTGAACAGATTAGTTGATTGTAATATTAATTCTGCTACAGTTACTACTAGCAGCTGAGGTAAATAATTGTAATTAATTATAATTAATTGTAATTATTTATTTACATTTCCCTTTTGAGCTAATTTGCTACAACACCAAACGAGGGAACAAAATAATACAAAGCTGAACTGAGCACTCAAATCAATGTGTAACTAAGGTAACAAACAAGGAAACTGAGAGAACCAAACTGAGGAACTAACATACTAGAAAATCAACTGTGAAAATCGAGCATGAACAGATATGAAAAACATTGAAGCGTCTTGACCAATCAGGCACACCATTTTTCCCATAAATAAAAAAGCATTTTTTATTTAAAGATAAACCTTTACGACCTAATGGCATGTTGAGAGTTCTCCCTCTCACTACATTTTCCATAGGAAAGACACATAATGCACAGCAAAATGGACTCTTCTCTAATCAATTCATAGGAAAACCTTTCTTTGAATGAACACAAATATACTTCAGGTCATTGTGTATGTTGTTACTGTTCTTGTATATTGTATTTTGTATTGTATACTGTTTTATGCATGCTTATGATAGAACCACTCATTCATGTAATCTTACCTATATGTAATCTTACCATGTTTGGTCTTAAACAAGAGTGTATATTATATGTTGGTACATAGGCAATATATTAATGTTCTAAGAATCTTTACTAGTTTGTGCATCAACACCCAATCGAATTACATATGCAAAATACCATGCTTGGAGACAAAGAGTCATAAAATTTCCCTCCAAAAGTGAAAGTCTCCATTGGCTCTGTGACCTAGAAACAGAGGTTTAGTATAAGCTGTAGACCCCGTTCTAAAACGGTGCTAATGGTTTTACTCGGGTGGCTAACTGACTCTTTTCATAGTTTCATTCTCTGGTTTTCCTGATGGTTTCATCCATCAAGTCTCATTTGCCCTTTCCCCTGTATGAGTGATTGTTTGTTTGTTTGTTAGACTAGTTTGTGTTAGTGTTTACTTAATAAAACTCTTGTGCACAAATTACATGAGTTTCTGATTATGCTTTATGTTATGTCCTGTGGACGTATTTGTAAAACGTGTGATTATGGGAGTGATATCATCTATTGGCCACAGAAACCCAAGAAGTATAAGACAGCAGAGAAACAAAGCTGAAGCTCTGACGGCAACGCGCTTCACTCTTTGCCCTGATCTAGAAATGTTCTCTGTTGTTCAGCTCAGTGCGACCGAGTGCGGTCTTTACCTCTTAACGTTGTGAATAGATTGCTCAATTGCAAACTATGAGAGAGCGTGTGAACGGAAGCGTTAGGGAGAGGGTGCCATTTTCTTTGAACTTGAGATTTTGCCTATGTTTATGTTAGTCAGGGAGTAAGGTAAGACTCTTGTTATTTTATTTATTTTCATTTGTATAGGTTATTTAAAGCTTTCGTTGATAGTTAGAGAGTTTTGTTTGTTATGTTGGCCTTGCCCTCTCTTGAAGATTTGCTTCCTTTATAATTATTTTGTTATTAATAAAAAAAAGCTATTTGTTTAAGTTTGCATTTGGTGCTTTTCTGGATCAGGGGATTGTTGTGACCGTCAGACCCTTTTTTTTATTTAATTAACAGGGGGCTGGCTTACTACATGCTCTAATGCATTAATACTGTATGAAAGTATTTTCTGTGTCCACGGAAATATCCTTTCCTAGAGTTGATATGAACTTACACTGAATGTTCGCTGGACGAACAGATTGGTTGATGGCAATTTAATTCTGCTACAGTTACTACTGGCAGCCAGTATAAATAATTGTAATTAATCATAATTAACTGTAATTATTTATATACATTACCCTTTTGAGCTAATTTGCTACATAATTGGTGGGGAATGGTGGCGATCGTTTAGACATTATTTGCGAGCGGACTCCGTATCAAACTTGTGTGTTTGTCTCATAAATTTTATTAACGTCTTACACATGCATACCAGCTTCTGATAAACTCAGATAAACTACAGCTTGAATGTGCCTTCCTATGAGCAGTAGAAAGTTTTCAGTGCTATAATGCTTGGGTGAAGAAATCCCCACTTTCAGTTTTAAATGCATAAATCTTAAATCTGACGAAGAAATCTCAGATTAGCGGCATGAAGTAATCTGCGTGGCAAAGAAATCCCACTGGCAGTGATATTAAATCTGGGCGACGAAGAAATCTCGCTGCAGTATATTTACTTTTAACAGTGATTTGAGTGATGTTCCTCATCTCACTAAATTAAGGCCTTCTTGTATCTACCTCCATTTGCGCGTGTTGTAAGCTTGCATCGGTCTCTTAGCAACGTCTGACCTCGGGAGGTGCGAGCAGGCTCTTCCGGTGCAATCTGATAATAGCACACACGTCATAGACCTTTGTGTAAACAAAGAACTGCGTGTAGCCAACGCTAACTCTTTAGCAGCCATACAGGCTAAGCTAAGCCCTTTTCCTCAACTGCTAGCTGTTAGCATCTGACTAAAATTTAATTAAATCTGAGATTTAATTAAATCAATTTATTTATTTATATTTTCCATTTAGTTTCCTACAGCTATTAGGACCTTTTTTACTTTTACCTTATTTTAGTTTGTTTGACCATCACCACCTTCCCTCTTGGTATAAGGATTATAGCAGTCCTAGCAATTGTCGTATCCTTAATGAGCCGTACAGGTTATTAGTAGCCTAATTCCTGTCTCTGCTCTACCCCTCTTTACTTCTCAGCACAAGGTTATTACATAAGGTACAGTTATCATTCATTATACTATAGGCCCTGGGAAGACTAGAAACACTTCCTATTGTTTATGTTTATATACCTTGAGGTGTTTGATGTGCCCCTGCTAGCTTAGCTAACAGTCTCCCTAGGTTTATGACCCTGCTGCAGCATCCCTTTGAACAAGTGACAACTGCTTAGTCATATCTCCTAGCTTTAACTAAATAAGGAAAGTCCTTCCTTCTCCCTCTGTCTCTTTCTGATTTTATTTCAGTTTTGTTTTATCTGATACCTTCATAGTGAGCAAACCTGTGAACCATCAGTACTTTGAGTAATAGTTTGACCACATGTATAGCCGGTCATCAGCTGACCCCTGCTTACAGCACCATCAACAAAGTTACTCAAACTCTCTCTTTGTGTTCACGAACACAAAAACATAGCACCCTACCTCACTAGCTGCCCCTCACCAGCTATTCACACCTTAC